TGCCGATGCAGGGGACATGGGTTCGTGCCCCAGTCTGGGAAGATCCCACATGCCGTGGAGCGGCTGGGCCCGTGAGCCATGGCCTCTGAGCCTGCACGTCCAGAGCCTGTGCTCCGCAGTGGAAGAGGCCACAACAGTGAGAGGCCCGCGTAAAAAAAAAAAAAAAAAAAAAAATAAGTAGGGGATGCTTGAGGTGAGACAGAGACTCAATTAGGAGTGCTTTTGGCTGCAAATAACAGAAAACTTGATCAGCAGTATCTTCAGTCTTAAAGACAAGAATTCTGGAAGTTGGCTATTCAGGGTTGGCCTGGCGGCTGAACCCTATCATCAAGGATCCAGGCACTGTTCACCTTTCTACTGAATGTGGTTGGCACATGGTCATAGTATGGCTGCAGCAGCACCAGGCATCACATCTGGGTTCAAGACAGGAAGACAGAGGGAAGGATTGGTGCCAGGCAATGTCTGCAATTGATGTGACCACCCCTAACTGCAAGGGAGGAGGGGGAAGTGGATGGTTTGCTTTCTAGCCTCTATAATGGACGGTAACAAGGTAGAAAAAAGATGTATAATCAGCCACTCAATATTGTCTGCCTCAGCCTCAAGGAACAGTTGGAAGCCTACCAACTGTGGTCAAGGCAAGAAAAAGAAAGGCTTGGGGCAGAGGGCACGTGATGTGCAAAGACACAGAGGCAAAGGACACCATGGCCTATTTGAGTAGCACGAGCAGCTTGTCATGAATTCCATACACATGAAGCAGGGCGGGAAGCAGGATGGAGGGTCTGGTTAGACGGGTCTGGCTTGAGCAGAGCTTCATAAGCCTGGCTGAGTCTGGTCTTCACACTGAGGGCAGTAGAGCACCCTCTCAGATTTGTGTTTTAGAATGATCTTCTAGCAGCAATGTGCAGGAAGGATGGAGGGAGGTAAGGTCAAAGTCAGGGAAACCAGAACAGAAGCCCCACACAGCTGCCCAGATAGGAAATGAAGGAAACTTGAACCAGGGCAGTGCTGGTTGGGATGGTGAGAAGGAAAAGGAATACAAAGCATTGTGTGTTGTTGGGATTTGTTCTAGAGGTACATAGAAGGGTGGCAGGTCTGGGTAAAAAGGAGGCAGAAGCAGCCTTTGGTGCACACAGGCATCTGCAGTGACTGTGGCTGGTGGAATGGTGACGACGCCCCAGCCCACGGGGCCCGCCCATCATCGCAGCCAACTCTCTGCTACCAGCCTCTGTATCATCAGGGCTGCTCTGTTTCCCCAGAAGCTTACTGACTTTTTAGCTTCCTCTCCCTAATATCCGTTGGTGCATGTCCAGGGACTGCAACTTTTGATATTACCCTACGGCCACAAAATTGGGAGGGTCCATCTGAAGCTGAAAGGGCCATGTGTCTGCCAACCGAATCTGATTCTTGCTTTGGGTCACCTGGACCTTGGTCCCCCTCCAGGTCTGCAGACAGATATGGGGAGTTCTGAAGGGAGAAGGGGTCCCAGAACTGTGTGGCTCCAGGTGCACCCTCTTCTTTCATCTTATAGACTTTTATGGGGCACCTGCTCTGTGTCAGGAACTATGTGGGTGCAGCCGTGAACAAAGGACTTAAAATAGGAAAACAAGAGAGAGAGATATTAATAACTACAATGGGGCTGCATTTTATATAAGGCTTACATTCCAGAGAGGGGTGTATCAGCTTAGATTCTTATAAAGTCAGAGCTGGTTCTAGAAAGCCCCTAAAGCGTATTGTTTTTTATGCACCCCAACGTATGAAGATCTCTCTTTTCAGTGAGTACAGAAAGACCATTTTCCCTGTGTTGGTTTTTTGCTTGATCACCAGGTGGTACACTTGGCTTGCTTTTTCGGACCAGCTTGACCGAGAATAGCACTGCTATACTAGAATCGAGTGGCAACTGATGGTCTCTTGGGACCCGAAGGCCAGGTCCAGGGCTCTGGACCAGGAAAAGGACACGTTTTATCTCTTCATCTCTGTGCTCTGCCCCTGATGGCCCCAGGCACTGCCTCCGTTCCCTGGGGAGTGAGCCAGAGGACGGAAATGATTGCAGGCTGATGTCTTAGGATGACCTGAGCCAACTCCACGGGCAGCACTTTGAAACCCTGCACTTCATCCCATGTTGTGCTAAGGGCATCTGGCAGAGGCAGGAACTGTTTCTGTCCGGGACCAGGAGCTGGCGCAGAGGCAGCGGCTGGAGGTGCTGGTGTGCACGACCACATGGGGCAATTGGCAGCTGTGGGGTGGACAGTAAAGGGTGGTGGGTGTGATGACGGAAGACTTTGGGTGCTGTGGGAACACTGGGGTTCAGGAGAGGCCTCCTCCTGGTGGAGTGGGGCAGTCTGGGCGGAGCAGCAGGTATGGGGAAGGGACGGATGCAGAGCAAGGCAGGGCTTGCTGGATGCGCTTGAGAACTGGAAGGAAACCCACGTGGCTAGAACTTGGAGAGCAAGAAGAGAGAGGTGTGGCCTGGTAAGCCATGGCCACAAGCCAGGACTTAATCCTAAATGCAACAGAAAACCATCTAAGGGTTTTATGCTCTGAGTGACAAGATCTGATTCGTGTTTTTATTCTTTTAAATTAAATTAAATTTTAATGGTGGTAATGAACACAGAACCTAAAATTTACCATTTTAACCATTTTCCAGTGTACGATTCTGTAGCATTTAGTGCATTCACATGATTGTGCTACCATCATCGCCACCCACCTCTAAAGCTTTTTCACTTTGCAAAACTGAAAGTTTGTACTCATGAAACAACTCTCCATTCCCTCCACCCCCATCCCCTGGCAACCACCGTTCTACTCTCTTTCTCTATGAGTTTAACTCTGGGTATCTCCTATAAGTGGAATCATTCGGGATTTATCTCACGTGGTGCAGGGACCTTCAGGTTCATCCATGTTGTAGCCTGTGCAGGGAGAGGAATGCCAAGAGCGGCTCCCAGGTTCTGCCTTGAGTTCCTGGTACATGGAGATGCTACTTATGGAGACTGGGGTCTCTGGAGCGGGAGCAGGCTTGGGAGGGGCTCAGGTGGAAGGAAGCACGTGAGTTTAGTACTGGACACATTCAGTGGTAAGGACATCCAAGTGGACATAACCAACAGGCAGATATTTTGGTTTTCTATTGCTGTATAACCAGTGACCCCAAATGCATGACAAAAACAACCACCATTTTATTATGTCTCAGGAACTTGTGGGTTAGGAATTCTGGCAGGGCTTGGCTGGACAATTCTATTCCTAATGAAACTGACTGAAGCTACTGGATGGGCTGCTTGGGTTGGAAAGTCCACGATCTGGTGCCTTGGGTTGGGGAGGCTGAAAGGCTGGTCTCAGTGGGGACTCTGGCTGCAGCGTATTTGTGGGGACTCTCCAGCACGGCGGTCTCAGGGGAGGTGGACTTCTTAGGTGATGGCTCAGGACCCAGAGCCAGGCTTCCAAAGGACTGGAAGTGCCAGTCTCTTAAGGTCTGGGTGTGGACATTGCACGGCACCATTTCCGCCATATTTTATGGGTCCAGCAGGATAGCGTCCACCCATATTCAAGGGAAGGGGGCATAGGTTGCCTTTCAAGGGGATGAATAGCAAGAATTATAGCCAACTTTACAGCAGATGGAAAGATCTGGATTTCAGGAAAGAGGTCCATAAACTCTTCTTTTATTCTCATTTTCTTTCTTTTTTTTTTCTTTTTAACATATTTAATGGAGTATAATTGGCTTTACAATGTGTTAGTTTCTGCTGTATAACAAAGTGAATCAACTATACATATACATATATCCCCGTATCTCCTCGCTCTTGCGTCTCCCTCCCACCCTCCCTATCCCACCCCTCTAGGTGGTCACAAAGCACCGAGCTGATCTCCCTGTGCTACGCGGCTGCTTCCCACTAACTATCTATTTTACATTTGGTAGTGTATATATGCCAATGCCACTCTCTCACTTCGTCCCAGCTTACCCTTTCACCTCCCCATGTCCTCAAGTCCACTCTCTATGTCTGCGTCTTTATTCCTGTCCTGCCCCTAGATTCATCAGAGCCATTTTTTTTTTTTTAGATTCCATATATATGTGTTAGCATATGGTATTTGTTTTTCTCTTTCTGACTTACTTCACTCTGTATGATGGACTCTAGGTCCATCCACCTCACTACAAATAACTCAATTTCGTTTCTTTTTATGGCTGAGTAATATTCCATTGTATACATGTGCCACATCTTCTTTATCCATTCATCTGTTGATGGACATTTAGGTTGCTTCCATGTCCTGGCTATTGTAAATAGAGCTGCAATGAACATTGTGGTACATGACTCTTTTTGAATTATGCTTTTCTCAGGGTACATGCCCAGTAGTGGGATTGCTGGGTCATTAGGTAGTTCTATTTTTAGTTTTTTAAGGAACCTCCATACTGTTCTCCATAGTGGCTGTATCAACATTCCCACCAGCAGTGCAAGAGGGCTCTGTTTTCTCCACACCTTCTCCAGCATTTATTGTTTGTAGATTTTTTGATGATGGGCATCCTGACTGGCGTGAGGTGATACCTCACTGTGGTTTTGATTTGCATTTC